GATGCACGTTGAGATCTGTCAGAACCAGATTCCAGACTCTGTTAACAGAAAAGCCGACATTTTGAGCATTTTGACTGAGGTTAGAAGACAAAAAATTCTATTGTCCTAGGAAATAGTTGATGAGGATTTTGGGGAGCTTATGCTTTGATATTTTGCTGTGTTGCTTTGTTTTGATTTAAGCTTACCTCCCTTTTTGTATAGAAATAAAAGGTTAAATATAGATGTTCTCCTCTTCAAGAAGCACTCGCTGCTCAGAAATAGTAACTTGGCAGATAGGAGGGACATCCAGGGCACTCGCATAATTCAGAGAGCATCTGTGTGTAAAGAACATGGACTCGTGGAAAGAATTGTTTATTTTTAAACTGGTTTCATAATGAGGAGCGGGACCGGAAGTGGAGCCCGGTCCTCTTCAGCTCGTCATGACACCGGTTATTGCTTATTGGTTTTTTCTCGGGGAGGCAGCTGTGTCCAGATCCAACGAGCAGGGCTAAAATAAATAAATAAATAAATGGAAAAATAAATAAATAAATAAATAAAGATCTTTCCTCTCTCGGCAAGTAACCGTTGGCTTTGGCGCGTGCGACGCTCCCTCTCCGTGACGTAGACGACGCCATCCTGAGATGTGTCAACTGTCGGGTTTATAAATAAAGTTTTGGAGGTAGGGAGTTTGGGCGGGAGTCTGACGCACGACTGGCGGTTGCTAGGTTACGCCGTGGAGGGGACTGCGGTAGCCATGAAACGCTGCCGGAGCAATAAATCCCCGCTAAACACAGAAAACAGACACTTTACTCACTCCGGGTCGAGTTCTCTCAGCGAACTGAGGTGATATGAAGAAATACGAAGGCGTATCCTTCGTATCAGCGTATCAGGACCGTAAATCTACGGAGGCTTTGTCATTTTAAGGCCGATCAAAGTTGCAAAAGCACAGTTTTGGGGACGTGTCTCTCTATTATTTCTTATCAGGAAACTGTTTGTTTGTGTTAGTGGAACATTGACCACAATATCTGTCATCTATGTGACATTGACATTATTTGAGAAATTTAAATGTAAAAAATAGACCAGATTATACTATTGTTTTTGTAAACAGCAACAGCATTAACCCAATAAATCTATTTAATGTGCACTACAAAAGAGCGATACTTATAGAGAAAAAGCCGTGGTCACTCACCACTCGACCTCTCAGTTTTCTTCATCTCCATCTAAAATCACTGCATCTTGTACCAGCATCTCCCTGCACCCAGTTTTTATTTTACAGCTGGCACAGCTAGTGTTTTTCACTCGTTCACACCAGCAGGCTGTTTTTAAACGATATTTTATCACCAGATCATGTGATAAGACTCTTAACAAACACAACAAGCTAATGCTGAACCTCTAAGTAATGAGGCAAAGCCTGATGTGTCCCCAGTAAAAACCAAGTGATGAGTCTCACATTTGCCTGATTTCCTGGTCAGCTTTTAAACTTCCTCCATCTTCAGTTTGGGGTGTTTTACTGCCAAAATCTGCCTGTGTGTTAGACATTTAAGTGGCTGCAAAGTAATTTAAGCCCAAACCATGATCAGCCCACCTCTGTGTTCATAGTGTCGGAGGGTTGTTGTTGTTTTTTCTCTGATGAAAAACAGCCATTTTTGGTCGGGGAAGATATTAGTCAGACAAAAGTTGTTATTGGCACTGGAAACATTTGATAATGAGGATTGAGAGAAGGTTTATTTTTAGAGTCCCCTCTCACGGCACCTCCTACGTCCTCTTTAAAACCATCTGGATCCTCCCGGATATATTTGGTATCAGGTTTAATACAAATACGATGTCCTTTCTATTATTTGAAAAAAAGTCACGCATTTCTTTCTTTGTCAAGTGTTAATTTAGTTGTTAATTTAGTTGTTTGGAAGTCAGTTAAACTTCTGCTCAGCTAACTCTACAGCTTACAAAACATTTTCTCAAAAGATTTTCATGCTGTTTTGAGATCTCAAAGCTTGTTCCATTTTTTTCTGAAAGCCCAAAATGTTGTTATTTCTGTAAACATTAAATGAAAAATGTTGTGGGGGAGGGGGGGTGATTTGCTAAGATTAATTAATAAATTAATCAAATTAAAAAAGGGAAAAAGTCCCATCTGCTGCCTTGAGTAAACGATGAGTAAGCATAAATAGCTGAGGCCTGTATTACAGGGGATAGATCAGACTTTACCTGGTGTTTTTAAGACACAACTGAGGTGGAATGTGATAGAAAGTGCATGTGTTGACCTTAAAGACGAGCATCTACTGTAACAGAGAGAGAAAAAGAGAATCTGTGCTTACAGCCAGAGAAAAATATAGTCCTAAAAGGAATAAGACAATCTGTACATGGATTATGTCATAGCATACGATGCTAATGTGAGTAATTAAAGCCAAATTCTAACACTTCACTCTGTGTTTTTAAGACATAACTGAGGAGTCACAGGGACAAAACCCTCAAACTGGACGATGTGTTTTTGTCACACTTATTAGCCCGATTCTTTAGCTGGAAACCTTAGAATAAACCAGAGTAAATAAAGAGTACAAATATGACATTAATTGGGTCCCAGGTAAAGTAAACCAGCTGAACTCTCACAGACAAAAACTCCCAGAGGACCTCAGTAGGCTTTAGCCCCGAAATCTGGTTGTGATGGATATTTATCTTCTGGTCTGGTTCTGGAACTGAGTGTTATTGGCCAGTTAGCTCTGACATGAAGAGGCCAGGTCCTAATTCATGCAGATTTAACTGGAATGTGGTAACAAAATGTGTGTGTTGACCTAAAGACGAACATCTACTGTAACAGAGAGAGAAAAAGAGAATCTGTGGTTACAGCCATAGAAAAATATAGTCCTAAAAGGAATAAGACAATCAGTATTTACATGAATTATGTGTTAGCATACAATGCTAACGTGAGAGATTATAGCCTAATTCTAACACTTTACTCTGTGTTTTTAAGACATAACTGAGGAGTCACAGGGACAAAACCCTCAAACTGGGCGATGTGTTTTTGTCACGCTTTTTAGCCCGATTCTTAGCTGGAAACCTGAGAATAAACCAGAGTAGATCAAGAGTACAAATATGACATTAATAGTTTGTTGACCTAAAGACGAGCATCTACTGTAACAGAGAGAGAAAAAAAGAATCTGTGAGCTCAGCCAGAGAGTTTGGCATAAAAATATATTCCTAAAAGGAATAAAACAATCTGTATTTACATGAATTATGTGTTAGCATACAATGCTAACGTGAGAGATTATAGCCTAATTCTAACACTTTACTCTGTGTTTTTAAGACATAACTGAGGAGTCACAGGCACAAAACCCCTCAAACTGGACGATGTGTTTTTGTCCGGCTGGTTTGTGCAAAGAAAAATAAAAATAAACCCCCCCCCCCCCGTAAATCCCACCGGGTTTAGCTGACCGGAGCAGGAAGTGTGTCAGTGGAGCATCTTTCTGACCGGAGCAGAACAGTCCTGCCTCTGAAATAATCGGAGCAACTGTTCCAGAAAAATTAGCATTTGTGCGAAGCTTAGGGGGATGAACACGTTAACCCACTTTCCCCACGATGGGCCGACATCCAGCAGATGTGTCCCGGCCCGCTCATGTTTATGGAAACCGATCAGATAGGATGTGATTCATGCCTCGTTTTCACCGGAGGAAGGACAGGCTAGCATTCTATTTTATTATTTCTTTTTTTACCATTTAAATCTAGGTCACTGAGCAGTGTTGTGGACATTTTATTTTAAAGCTAAAGTCTGAGTCCATCTGAGGAAGTGAGAAATAGAAATTTATTAAAAGGGAAAAAAGGGAAAACATCAAGTGAAAGCAACCAGCGGGACCAGACAAGTGGTTCATATAACATACCAAACTGCCCCAAAGTAAGATAAGATAAGATAAGATAAGATAAGCTTTATTGATCTCACTGTGGATAAATTCACAGGTCACACATCGGTTTAGGGATTAAAGAAGGTGCAAACAAGGAGGAAAAGGTGCATAAAGTATAAACAATAAAAATAAATAAAAATACAAGTGAGTAACACAGAGATTTGAGTACATTTTATACCTGCCTGAGTCTGATAAGAGGGGTAAAATTGCTAATTTGATCAAAATAATTTCTGTTTTTGTTTCTTCATATGTTGTTGAGGGGCCAAAGAAAGACTTCAGACTAAAACAATCCAATATTCTTCCTATTTTTCTTGGATCAGACTTTAAAGGGTTAAAATCCACCTCTTTTCTTTGGCTTTTGACACCATGTAGAGTGTTGATTTTATGTATATACATGCATATTTTTATCCTGTGTGGGCAGTGCTTTTATTTAATTGATTTATTTTATTCATTTAATTTATTTATTTTATATATTTTTTTATTCTACATATTTTATTCCATTTTACTTCTATTTTTGTTTATTTTATTGCCTTTATTTTTTACTCATCTTTTCTTGCTGTACTTCTATTGTGTTATCTATTTATTCCGTATAT